TAGAGTGTAAGCTCCTCTGTACAGAGACTGATGTGACTGGCTCAGTGTTCTGTGTACAGCACTGCGGTATATGTCAGTGATATATAAATGTATAATAATAGTGTGTGACCGTGGGTCAGGACATTAGAGTGTAAGCTCCCTACACTTGTGACTGGCTCAGTGTTCTCTGCACAGCACTGCGGTATATATCAGTGATATATAAATGTATAATAGGGGGTGTCTGTAGTGAGTTCTGAGGTAAATCTTTGTGGAGAGCATAATCTGCCCGGTGACTCTGATCCCGCCTCGTGATTGGTTCCTGTGGAGGGAGTGCAGCCAATGACAGTGGAGGAGGTGTGAAGCGGGAAATCTGATTGCCTGTGAGGCTCCCCTCAGCTCCTTCTGTCAGTTACTGAAGTCTCCATCTTGTTTTACATTAGTGACAGAAGTGATGGGGAGGAATGGCGAGGTTAGGGGGGTCAGTTCACTTCAGGGACCATGTGTGTGTGGGGGGAGGGGGCAGGGACCCTGTATATGTGGGTGCTATGGGGGGGAAGGGACCCTGTGTATGCCCCTCATAATGTATATATTTCTAATGTAGCACTTCATAACATTATTGAACCTCTTTGGTTTTTGGATTCTGTAGCTGTAACTCGAGTACCTCCTCCTCTTTATTTCTTTGCATGTTCTTTAACCTCTTGCCGTCCGCCCGTAGTAAAAAAACGGACGGATCGAAACCAAAACTTTTTTTTAAATATTTAATTTTTGCTTATTTTTTCAAAAAATGTTCATATTTTTATTTATTTTTATATGAAATATTTTGTATCTTTAAACTTTACTGTTGGTGGCTACAGGGAAATATTAGGGGTCTAAACCAGTGGTTCTGAACCTGTGTAACCTCAGGACCCACATTTGTCCTCGGTCATTAAGTGGTGACCCAAGTCGCACTGCAATGGAACGCAGAGCATTGCGGTACCGTGCGCTCTGGCACGGGCGATTGAACTGTGGGCGGGAGGTGTGTTTGGGGTGCCATTACGAGAACTGGAGTGGATCCTCAGTCAGTGCTGGGCTGCTGTGCTGTGACGGAGCTCCATCCATATGTGCATTGCTGGTACAGCTCGTTTGCACGCCCTGCAGAGGTGCCGGGAGCCACGATGTGACGTCACTCCAGGCCAGGCACCTCTACAGGGCACATGAGGGAGCTGTTTGCAATGCACGTATGGATGGAGCTCCCTCGCGGCCATAGCTCCAGCCCACCCCACCTCAAGCTGACACTCGACGCCGGGCAGCATAGTTTGAATGGCTACTCTCTGTGAGAACTGACAGAGCTGTGCTAGGAGGAGGCTAAGAGACTCTCACCTAGAAAAGTGGAAGGCACATGGCGACCCACTGAACACGGGGTTGTGATCCACTTTTGGCTCACGACCCACCAGTTGAGAACCAAGGATCTAAACAGTCCCCTGATATTTCCCACAGAGTGTTCAATCTCTTTTTTTCTGCAGCCCCAGCACTGAATGAACTGGAATCCTCTATACTGAAGGACACAGAGCAGCGCCCATCGAGGAGGGGAGAAACTAGAAAAATAGTATTTTCTGGATTTTGGTCAAAGTACCATTTTTGGGCGAAAATTCATCCCGAGTTTTAAATGGTTATAATGATGACAAAAAAAAAAAAATTACAATCTTAAAAAATGACGCACAAGTTCCTACAGCACACACATTCGCTGTTCAAATATTTGATTTTTTTGACAATGTTTAACATGATTTCTGATATACACCGGACTCGTTTATTTATTCATTCATAGCAGAGAGTGTAAGTTTCCTTCACACTGCCGGAGAATACTTTCACCAGGAATGAATGTAATAGGAAAGGATGTGCCGCACATTTCAGAAACACTCTTCTCAAACATTCTAATGAGGAAAAGTCACCAGCATACACATTGGATGGGAATTTATCAAAACGGGAGCAGACAAAATCTGGAGCAGCCGTGCATAGGAACCAATCAGCTTCACTCTCATTCTCAAATCTTAACTGAACAAACTGAAGAGAGACGCTGATTGGTTGCCATACACAGCTGCTCCAGATTTGAT